TATGCACATAACAATGATGAATATGGCTAATATTTTAAGGACTTTGCATGCAACACCTTTTCTGTGGCAGGCATTGTAAAAGGCTTGGACAACAATACACATAGTTGTGTACCAGCACTGCAATCTTGCCTGGGGACTCAGTTCTCTCTTGCTTTTTACTGATGCTCACCATGGGCCTCCATGATAGCACCTGTAATCTCAGCCCACCAAGAGCAGCTTTGCTTTTTAAATATGAGACCACAGGAGAGGCAGGGAAAGAATTTAAAAAAAAATAAAATAAGCGAACATGAGCATTTGAAGCCTTTGAGGGGATGAGCTTCAGAAGGAAATTGCCTTGGACCAGGTGGGCATAGTTGAAGGAAGGAAAGGTGTTCCCAGGCCAGTTATTTTGCCTCAGACATGCAGCATGCTGCACGCACAGTCTCTCAGTGCAGGGCTAGACCACCACCTCCTCTGCCCCTTGGCATGGGCCAGCAGAGGCCAAGGTATCTGCTGGCCATTCGCGAGCTTCAGACCCTGAGTCTCAGCTATTTCCTTTCTGCAGAAGGAAAGTTTATTTATAATTGCAGCCATAGGACATGACAATAGGCTGAAAGAGACCCACCGTCCAGCAGGAAAAAAAAAAAAGGCTTTCCCCCCCCCTTCCCGCTTAAAGACTGCTGTGCTTCCAAATGTGAAAGGGGCAGAAGGCATTTCCACTCACCCAACTGAAACTCTTTGAAAGGCTGTGAGCCTCCCCGACGTTATAAATGCTGATCATTCCTCCTACCCCCGCCGTCCCGGGACCCGTTACCCCCGCGGGACTCGGCTTTGCTGCGGGCCCCCATTCGGGGCAGGTCCTGCCCGCTGCCCTGCGGCCGACACGTCCCGTACGCCTCTCTCTGTTCCTGTCTTTTCTGACATCGCTAGGCAGACCGAAAGCGGCTTAGCCCTTGCCCTAGCGTGGGGCTTTCCTGCTCCGGGGGCTTGCAAAAAAGGGCTGGCGGAGGTGGCCCCGACCCCGCAGCGCCCCGCACCCTGCCCCGGCCTGCCGGTGTCTTTCCCCACTGCCTGTAGACAGGGAGGCGGTGGGGGTGAGCTGAGCCCTCTCCCAGCCCCGAAATGACGCAGCCCCTGCTCCAGCATTATCGCCCGTTTGGGCTGGCTCCATTTCAGGAGCTCCGTCTCCCCCCACCCCCTTCTTCCGAGTCCTCCTCCCTCCCCCCCCCCCCCCCCCCCACCTCCCTCCTCAACCCCCCCCCCCCCCCCCCGCCTCGCTCCCGCTTCCCCCCGCCGCCCCAAACTCCTTCCTAAGGACCGTGGGATGCTGGTGAGCTCTGGTGAGAGTTGCCGGTCTCCAATTCCAAACGGGGAGCCGCCGGGAGCGGTGAGGCAGCCGTGCCGGGGGAGAGTGGTCGGGGGGATAGGGAGGCAATGAAGGAAGGAGGCGGGGGGGCGCATCCACGCACATCCCCTCTCCCCCCGTTTGGCGCACCCCCTGCTCCCGGGAAGGTGCAGCCCCCGCGCCCCTCCCGGCCCGGCGCTGTCAGCGCAGCGGCGGCTCCGCGACCCCCGACGGGGCTCCCGCCGCGCCCCGCACGACTCCCCTCGTCCTCCCCCACGCGTGTGCGGAGCGTGCAGGGACACACTCACCTCGCCACTGAGGGTCCCTCTTTTCCTTTATCTCCCTTCTTTTCCTATCCCTTCCCCCCCGCAAAAGAAACCTCAAAAAACCCAAAAAACCCCAACCCCCCAAAAGCCCAATAATTTGCATACCGTTTGTCACCCTCGCTCAGTATTCCCCCCCCCCCCCCCCACTTCTTTAATCCCCCCCTTCACCCCCGCCCAGACCGACCCTACTCCCTCGCAAGCCGGGTGCAACCGGATGGCAAAAATCAAAGCTGGATCCAATTTACCCCAGTTGTCTTCCTTTGAACACTCATAAGGTAGGTATGGTGGGATGCTGCGCTCCCACTCCCCATGTGCTCAGTGAGGTGCCTTCCTCTCCACCCTCTCTCCCCCTCCCCCCCATGCCGCTCTCTATTCCTTAATTGGCTCTATCTTGATGTGCACTTGTTTTGTTTAGCCTATTTTACCATTGCGGACGAGATAGGCAGAAAAAGGAGCGTTTGACTTGGTATGTCTCTCTGATTTTTTTTTTTGTTCCCCCCCCCCCCCCCCCTCCTCCGAGGTTAATTTGCATTCGAAGTCTAATTCATATTTCAAAATCCTGGCATTTGAGGACTGTATAGGAACAGGGCATTCATTTCTGTGTTTGAGGAGGAGCCTTTCCTGCATTTGCTCCTCTCTGCATAATTTCATTGTGTTCACAAGTGACAGGGATTTGCATCAGTTATTTTGCAATTTATTTTTTAAAAGAGTTGGATCAAATTTAAGGAAAAAAAATTTATTTTTAAAATTGCCAAGGGAGTAAATACTGGGCATTATAAAAGGACCATACATTACTAACAATGTTGCAAACTTAGTTTAAGGCACAGACTATATATTTAGATAAACATATTAATCTGCATTCCTTGGAGTTGGATTTCTGAGTCCTGAACATCTGATTTTGATGACAGTCAGAGAAAGTCAACTATACAAATACTGTGGTGTATTTATAGTTCCTCATATTTATTTACAGGTGATTTTACTGCTGTTTGCTACTCTTGCTCCAGCGCTTTGTAATTATTTCACTCCTGCAAGGCATTTCATAGGATTAGATGCTGCTTTACTCATTAAAGATTTTCAGCTGATCCAGCTGTAACTTTCATCCACAACTCTGGAAATAGTTATGTGGCCACGTGGACTTTATGGAAAGATTATAAAAGATATGTGGATATAAACCAATCTTTTTATATGTCTATGTATCTTTCAGTTCTTTGGATATGATGAAGAATCCGTCTACATTTAGGCCTTTATGGGTCCTTTAAGGACTTCTTTCACATATTTTATTTGTATCTATAGAATGAATTTTCTTTATGTATGTAGGGATTACATGAATGGCATATGTTGCATAATATGCATATGAGGCCTTTCAAGTATTTCTGCACACACACAAATTTATTTTTGACAAATATATATGTGTGTGTACATGCATGTTTATACATGTGTGTGATGAAAAACATACTGGAAGAGAAAACTGCCCAAAATAAAAAATGTTCATAAAGGAAAAGCTGTTAAAGTAGTTCACTGGGAGTTTGCATCTGGTGCTTTACAAAAGTCACTTAAGTTGCAGACTTTACTCTAAATACATTTATATACCCCCATTTCAGCATAAAAATCTCTCTGCATGTATTTGTCCTTCTATAACTAAGTGAGGCTATGAATTATGCCTAAAAAGATGCCACTGATATAAAAAACTTGTAAAATAGTAATGAAATATGGAATTTTATATAATGCCAACAATTGTAGCATGATTCTTGGCATAAGCAGTTTAGTGCAATTTCATTTGTCTGAACCAGAATGATATTACAAAGTGAATTAATAGAACATTAGTCCTGAAAAAAAGAAACACTTCTTCCTTTGAAATATGAAGTGCCACTAACTTGAGATGAAACCTGAAAGTCAGTGAATAATATATGGGAAATATTAATATTTTAAATGTATCATATTTAAAATTGCTGTGAACTTAAACAAGGCTTCACATCAAGAAAAAACAAGTAATTCATTTTAGGCTCCAATTTTATATGCAACATTTTACAAATGAAGCACTTCACTAAAGAAGGGAAGTCAGGTATGTAAGCATATTTTGTAATTTTTCACATGAAATATGGTCATTATGGAATATGAATTTAATTTGGAAAATGATAAAAAAGAATATTTATTTTATTTTTTCTACTGTGCTGCAAGGAAAACATTTTTAAGTAGCTGATTGGGGAGATGAAATGAACTGATATGGCCCATAATACCCACATGGGCTTTTGTACCTTGTGAAACCATATCACAACAGAACCTTTATAAAAAGTATGAAGTCAAGTAATGCAGTCATTTTTTATATTTAGAATGGGAGTTGATATGATTCAGCCTAATGTTGTAAAGAGTGAACCCTCTGGCACTTGGCATTACATTATTTTAAAATTACTCCTGCAAGGAAAGTTAGTAGAAAGAGGGTAGCAGTGTTGAAGGCTAACACTGAAGCTTAGGAGTAAATTGGGGTGCCACTGCCTGTCCTGGCTGTGGTTTAGGTGGGGAAAAAGTGTCACCCTTTGTTCTCTCCTTAGTTCAAAGTCTGTTGGCTCCAATGTTTCAATGATCTGCTCCAATGAGCAGGTACAGCTTAGCCTCTGGAAGCCAAACTTGTGCTCCTTAAGATGGGCCAAATCCTCCTTTTCACTTTCATTGAAGCCACTTGGAGTTTTGTCTGATTGGAATGATATGTAGGATATGTATAACTGGGCATTTTGAGCAACTGGGGAAAAAAACCCTACCCAAACCCAAACATGTCTTTGCATCAGTGGAAAGTGTTGGATGTGTCTGAAAGGGTAGTTGTGTGTTCTGGAAAAGACTAAGTCTGCCATGACTCTAAGTGCCTATGAACTGTCTTGTGGAAGGACAGCAAAGTCTGGTTAGTCCATAGCCTGGTTCCCACCTACTTAGCTACTCCCACTAGGAGCTAGTTGCAGGTGCCACAGAAGAAGACAGGTTGGTGGTGGAGAAGAGGGGACACGGTTGTCACTTGCTACACAAGCAGGTCTCTGGACAATTTTGCCCAAAGCCCTGGGATATTTGCTATGGTTCTCTCAATTATCTCCCAATAATTTCAGTAGCTTGTATTTTCATTATAAATGCCCAGTGTCCTTTGGAAACTCACTACAGATATTTTAAATTCAGAATAACTGTAATGGGAAAAAAAAATCATACTTTTCCTTTTTATTCAGTTTTATCACAATCACAGTTTATTTAAATATACATTTCTCTGCTGTGAAATAACCTTTCTTTCCACATTTATACCCATGAGCACAATGCTAACTCATAGCAGAAAAACATTTTAGAACACTGTGCCATGCTTATAGGATAATTATTAATCTTGTCAGAATAAAAAGCGTGCTAAAAGTATTCCATACAAAGGTTTGTGCCTTAACGTTTTTGAAAAATTTTTTTAAAGTAATCAGAGATGTCATAACAGAGGGAGAAACCATACGATATATAGCACGTAGTAAAAGTATATGACTCCTACAGGACTATTTAGAAATACACAAAGCTTATTTTTTCTCCTTTTGGTTAGTAGACTACTTGAGGAAAAGGTATGTTTTTATTTTTATTCCTGCTTGTGTCTGTGAAGACAATGGGAAACTACAATTTCCAGATTTTAGTAGCTATAAATGGTATAAAAATAAGGAAGAGAGATGTTAATGATACATATCTGGAGGGATAAATACACAATAATCATGCACTCTGATAGCAGAAAGAAAAATTATTTGACTATAAAACCAATGCTAAATACAAGCAGAATAATATTGTTCTAGTGAGAAATATAGCAACTAAAATGATACAACAAAAAGACACTTTTGAAACTCCCCGTATGCTTAGAACTTTTCCAGTTGAATATTCCTTTTTAATGTTTTGTAACCACTGAGATATAGTCAGTGAACAAGCCAGTCAAAACTTTTCTTTGTTTTCCTACCCCATATCTACAAATCCAAAAATGCAACCTGTAGCAATTCCACTTGATATCAGGAAGGTGATTTTCCTGTTTGTTTCTTGGGTTTTGTTTGAAACTTGATTTTGTGTACCCTGACTCGTGCTGAAATTTCTGGGGTGTGCAGCAGTGTTTGTAGGGTCATCCACTTATTTTGTGTAGGAGGGCCAGATTTTTCGTACTGGGGATTCATTCAGGCACAGGAAAGGGATACTGCAGGATAGGGACTATTTTTCAAGGGCATTGGGCATTTTCCCTCTCATTTGACTTCAGTGAGAACTCTGAAAACTTAGTATTAAAAGAAAAGTGCCCATTTTTCTTTAGAAAGTGAAATATGGACACAGAAATATGATAAATTTCTTTTATCTCTGATTGAAAAAAATGGTAAAACGCTATAGCTGGAAATGTCTCTTTTTATCTTTGTATAGGTTTCACGTCAACCCTTTGAGTATAAAGCACAAACTTACCTTTCCCCATGTGATAACTGTTTATTTTACCTTTCTGTTCTGAGGTAGAAAAAATGATTAAACCACTAATGCCCCAAAAAACCCAGACAGAAATAATAGAAATTATTCTTCATTACTCAATTAAGAAAATAAGAAATTTGGAATCTGCGTAAGGTGAATTATGATTTTACATGCTGCTGATTTGACTTTTTGAAATTAGTATCTTCGTACTGAACTCTTGCATATATTTTTATTACTGTTAGGAAAGAATAAGATGCACATTTCAAAGACCTGTTAGAGGGACAGCGTTTTGAACTGTGACATGCTGAAGCCTAGGAAAAATATAGCAAATGTTTTGAGGAAAAATCAGTATCTGGGGACAGGAGAGTATCCATAGATGCTTCTCTGCCAGTGAACCCTGTAGCAGGTCATGTGCACCTGGGGCTACTGATTTCTCTTCAAAAGAGGAGTAGCAGGAGAACCAAAACACAGTTGCTTATTGATCAAAGTTCCCTCAGTGCAACACTATCAAGTTTTGGGATCAATTTTGACTGGATGGTGTCAAGCTGCAAGTTGGAAAGGGGTCCAATCCAAACTGTTTTGCGCCACCAATGTCCACACTCAGGGGATAATTTCTTTGTCTGCAAGTGGTGGTTGAAACCATGACCCTTCTCCCAGCAAAACCCAGGACAAGCTGGCCCCATGGCTCCCAGCAGGACTTGTGGTCCCTGGGCTAGGAGGGCTGCACCACTTTTTTGTGCAGAACCCACAAGGCTCTCCTCTGCATCCTGATGTCAGTTTTCCTCTGGTTTCATCTCTAACTTCTCTGTTAGGTTTTTTTAGTTTTAAATCCTGGCTTCGTCTAGAAACGATTGGGCTGCGCTCAGCACCGCCTGTCTTGATAGGTTTGAAATTCCTGGGAAACCTCAATACTGGCACTTTCTAAACACAGTGAGAAGAGCACAGTGGAATATTAATGGGAGAAGCACATTTTAAAGGGGCAACACCACTTTGTAATTTTCATCTGTTAAAATGTTTTGGTCAGGGACAGCTTGGGGGAGTTGCAGCAAAGCCACAAGTGTTCTTCACAATTTAGAGCTTCTGTGTTTTAATTATTTCTTTTTTGCTGCCACTGTGAAAGATCCCTGGAGACAATGGGGCTGTGACACTGAGGAACAGGTTATCCTCATTGTGCAGGGAGCACCATAAAAAACACAAAACGGAGACACAGAATAAAATACATCCCCCTCTGTCCCTTCCCATTTTCCCTATTTTCTGCTGTTACAGTAGTTATGTTACATCAGCAGTGGGTAAAAAGGAAAAAAACAAACAGATGGAAATGTATGTCTAAACTGACAGAGCCTTTGTAAATTTTAAGAACTATCTCAAGGAAAATAATAATAATAATCAAATAACAACAGTAATAATAATAATAATAATAATAATAATAATAGACATTCTACACTGTTATGGATTTTATTTATTTAAACACAAATTTATGGAGCTGGCCACACACTAAAAATTGAAGAGTTTGGTACTGCAGTTGCTTTGGTGCATTTTTCAGCATTGTAATGGGCTACAGGGAGACAAAGGAGAATATGAATATATGGCAGTTGGTCTTTAGATTTGGGTGACATTTTTGCTTGTTTTAACTGTCTTTTTAAAAAACTTATTTTTCTTCTATCATGCTATTGAATTGCAGCAGATATTGATACAGAAAAGCTGGAATTATTTAATAACCAAAATTAGAAGTGATTTTTGTAGTATATTTCTCATTAACAACCTCTTGACTGATAAGGAATCCTGAGGTCCAGGCTAAACTCACGCATGGTGAGAAAGAGTGAGATGATAGATGGACATATTTCTCACCTTCAAAACAGGTTTCTTTAGAAAACAGTAGAAAGCAAACCCTTTCATAGAGCATTAAAAAGCAAGCTCAAACATGACACTACTGTCATACCTTTCATGGTACTTTTTTTTTCAGGAGTCTGCCCCTGATTTTAGTCCAGAGGAGCTACTCTTTGAAATGGTGTGTCCAGCTTTGGCGTTTGCCTGCTGAGGAAGAGGTATGCCCTTTGTCCCTCACCTGCAGATGGCTTGGATGCTTTTACTTTCCTGAAGCGAGCACTTCCCAGTGGGCTGCATTCAGAAAGTGCTTTTCATAGCAGTAATACAGAACCAAGTTACAAAAGAATATTAATCCAATACATTCCAAAATTCAAATATGTGTGATTAATAAGCATTATTATCTATAAATAAGGCTCTAATGATACTTTGGCAGTGTTGTAAACACAAGAATCAGAAGCAATTATTGTCATTATTGTTCTGCAAGTACTTTCCATGAATACCAAATGGATATTACTGTCCAGCTCCTTGGCACATAGAAATCCTGTAAAGAAACAGTTGTCAGTCAGTAAGGCCTGGCTGGCTGCTGTTAACTGCATTTTTCTAAAGTGCAGTGTACCTAAAGACAAAGCTCCTGAGTTATTGAGAGTAAGATGGTTGATTAAAAAAATTATTCTTTGTGTTTTGCAACCTCCCAAAAGATGTTAAATAAAGCCTATGATAAAGTTTTCACATCTTGTGAGAAGAACAGTTTGTGCGATGGCTGTGATTAAAAAGGGAAATGGATTCTCTGACAAAAAAACTGCCTTTATGTGAAACCCACAAAGGTGAGAAGGTCCCAGCTAAAAGGTGGTGTGTAAATAATGACACTCCCTAGCTGTAAGAGGTAGCCCACTGCTAGTTTTCAAGGACATGGGATCAAAGGGGCATTCAAGTCTCATCACATTTACCTCTCCCCAGTGTGTACAGGTTCCATAGACTGGAGTCACATTGTCGGCCAGGTCCTGCTCTCTGTGACACCCCCACTTGCCTGCCTTTGGCAGTCTCACCTTCCTCACCAAACCTTGCTGCTTTAGACGGCGCCAGCCAACAGCAGCATTTTGTGGTGGGTGTCATGTTGTTCTTCAGATGCCAGGGTGTCATCGCGAGCGGGAACAGTGTGGGTCTGACTCTCTGAATATGCAGAAAGAAAAAGTAAAAAAAAACCCAACCAAACCCCAAACAGTAAGCTTTACTTTCCAAATGTGTTCAATTCTTCTTTCCTCTCCTCGATATTTGGGGCGTGCAGCACCCTATACCATGTGGTTTAACATTTTGTTCTCTATTTGTAGGTCAACATTTCCATGATTAAACTTCATCCTTTATTCAGCCTGTTCTGGCTAGGCTTTGCAGCACATGTGATATAAGCTGTTTTCACAGCTAGTAGGCCAAATCTTACTCTGAATAAGGGAGCCAAACATATGTGACTGAGTCAGACACTTAAAGCAACTCCCTGGTAAATGGGAGATAACTCCAGGTGCAGTGATGAACACTGAGAACCAAAAAAGTGGGAAGGGTGGCCAGCATTCCTCTGTACAGGAAAAGAGACATTCTATGCACACAGGCAGTGAAATCATAACCCTGCCCAAATTTTGTTCTCCCACATTTGCCTAAGGATACAGAGCCCTCTTTACTGGAGTTAATGGAATCTTTCCATTTGGGGTCAGGACAGCCTGGAGTAGGCTCAGCTGCAGCCAGGCATGGGACAGGTTGTGCAGGAGGGGGACATGGTGGGAGGAAGTGAGGCCGTTTCTGAAGAGCCCACCTTGCATTTGCAGCATGCACAAGGAAGTTGCTGGGGGAACATGAAAGACTTTGCATATGGCGTTGCATTTCTTGCAGTTGCCCTCTTTTCATCACCTTTACCTGTCTCATTTACTGACCGAGGTTGGTGGCTCTTCTTTTGCCTGGGGGCAGGTATCAGTTGCTTTAAGTCCGTGGGGTTGGACTAGGTGACTTCTCTGCATAAATTTCTGGAAATGCTGGCCATCCAGAGTGAGAATTACCCAACCCAATAATCCTGGGTGCAGAGGATTTGTGTTGAAGGACTCTCTTTCTGGCTGTGTAGATCAGCAGCCCTCCTCCTGTCCTTCGTTACCATCGTCTGGTAACTGTTAGGTGCTGAGAAGCCTACAAGACTTGTCAGGCACAAACAGAAGGGCCAAGGGAGTAGATGGGTGTCATAAATAATCCAGACCTCCTGTGTGGTTACTGTGTGACATTCCTACCTTCACCAGGGCTGGACTGGTCTGGGATGTCAGATTGCTACACAGCAAGTACCAGAGTTGACCAGAATGAATAGCGAAGGAGAACTCCTGCAGTAGGTCCAGAGAGCACAGGTTTTTCTCGAACGGACTTGGCTGTACCCATAATATTGCAGAGAGAGGACTGTGCTTTATGTCTCTAATTTGGTGTTGGACTGTAGCATCACAGAGGGGAGTTGGCAATGAACAGTTTCCCACAGGAACAAGCCTTCCAGAGTTCCACTTGGGCTGCCTCCCTCAGCTGAAGGAAATACAGGCAACGTAGATAGTGGGACTTTCAGTGACTTTTACTTTTGTCTTTTTTTTTTTTTTTTCATGGCACCCCTTCTTTAGCTTTTGTTCATCTGCTTTGTTTTTTTCAATAGCTTTTTTCATTTAGGAAAAAAATGTACCCATCCAAAACTAAATCAAATCTGTTTTCTCGATCTTCAGTGGATAAACTCAAATAATGATTATTGTGGCTGTGTGAGTACTGTGCTATCCACAGTTTAGAAAGTCCTGTCCTGATAACACACGCAGGATGAAATGTATGCACTAGTCTGGGGCTTTGAGGGCTGGCCTCATGGTTGGGCAAATCCCTCGGTATGCATGTGGGCATCTGATCAGCTTCTCTGCTATTGCATTGGAAAGAAAAGCCAGCTACAAGAAGTTACTGAGGACTTAATAGAGGGCAGGTGCCTTCAATGCTTGTCATGAGGTTAGGGGATGCTGCTCTGAATGAGGCACAGAAGTAGATGATTTGGTCTGCTGTGCCTGGTGACATGAAACGGTGCAAGGCAGGGGGGGATGAATTGCACACTCCTGGAAAGCAATAGGGAGAGTAGCATGATTTTGCCCTCACTGGAATGAAAGTTAATCCAGAATACACTGGAATAAATCCCTACGTGCATCAAAGATATATCGGTGTCAAATTAGTGGAAAGGAGAGGGGAATTGAGGCCAACTAAGATCTGCCGATAGGGTCAAGTGGCCTCTCTGTCCTTGGGTCTACCTTTTGGAAACACAAACTGCACCTCAGTTTCACTTTTAAAAATGATCCAAATCCTGATGCGTACAAAAAGCAAGAGGAGTGGAAGAAGATGGGAAAGTTCTCTGATGAGAGTGCGAGAGAATCACAGCATGGTACAGTGATGTGAAGTTGAGGAAAAGAAAATTAAGATTTTTCTATCTGGTTTTTTAGACAAATGAGGTTAAGTTACCGTTTTCTTATGCTTAAATAACAATCTCCCTCTTCCATGTTATGAAAGATCTTGGGAATGAATTAAGACTGTGGTACCAGACATAATTTCAAGTTAATAAAGAGATGGTGTGTTTTGTATTATCTTTTCTCTTGTTTCTGATTGTCTTTTTTGGGGAGTTGATATTACTGTAAGTAAATACATTTGCCTTTTGTTTCACTTTCCTCTGGTGACCTATTTTATTTAATTAGAAGGAAATGTATAATAGGAAATGAGTATCATCACACTGGGCTCCATCCAAAGCCTGTGAAATCATCAGGAACCTTTCCCGGGCTCTTCACTAGCACCAGGTCTGGCCTAGCAGAAAAAAGGGGCTATTTCCACCTTATCTGGAAGAATGTGTGCTGCCAGTATAAAAATATTATGGTCCTCATTTTAAGGTCTGGCCCAGATACTAAGGAATGATTTTGCTACTGCATATGCCTCTCTGTGCCACATGTTTCACATCTGCGGCAGCACGTTAAAGGATAAAGGTTCCTAAAACTTTAACTCTGAATATACATATAAAAAGAAGATACAAATTAAGGAAAAGATAAAAGATATTGATGGAAGTAGAGGAGATACTCTTTAACATGCATATTATTGACTCAATAGATTGTTACGGCTTCAGAGCTATTAGGGTCTGCTGTGTCAATGTGTACTTAGGGACTGTTTAATATGCAGATGGTTGACATGACAGACTGGAGCCATTACAGTCTATCATGTCAGGGGGGATGCATGAATACGCACTTTGCCAACACTGTAAAAAGTCCCTTTAAAATGCAGAAGCAGTTTTTAAAAATAATTTAATAGATTCAGAGTTTGGATTTATCAGCAACAAAAGTTATTTCCAAATTAAGTCATTCTCCATGTGGAATGTGCAGTCAGGAGTACAGGGTGTAATCTCAGATACGCAGCTCCTATCAAATCTTGTAAAATTAGCTATTGCACTTGTGCATGTGTAGAAGAGATCAGAATCTATCTGTCGGCATGTGTCTTCTTGAAGAATGTAGTTTTGTCTTTTTGAGGGGTAAGGGAGAATGTCGTCTCTTTTTTCATTCAAATAATCTTCAGTAGCAATTAAATAGCTTATGCTACCTAAGAGATCAGTTATTACAAGATAAGCAGCATGACAGTTTGGAAAACCGAATAAGTCTTTGATTATTTACTAAGTTTTGATATCTGCTATTTGCCTCGAAATGCTAAAAAGTGAAGTATAAGATACAAACATGAAAGACTCATTTGATCATCATAAGGAAAGGAATCAGTAGTTTTGCTTTTCTTTTCCTCAACAACTTATTTTTTATTAAAATAGAAAAGCCAAGTGTTGTGTTTAATAAGATATATTTTTTTCATTTGAATATCAAATGGAAAAATACAATTAAAATATTCCTGCTTTTACATTAATTGTAGGCTATATTTCAGCAACGCATATATCTAAGAAGCTCAGCATACACATTTGGTATATATTAGATGCTTCTAACAGATGCCCAGACCTCTTCCCCTGATTTTTAATGTTCTTTTTTATGGCAGTGATCCAGGGACATTTTAATTTGCAAGCCTGTGAATTTGGAAATAATACTTGTAGTGGGGCATTATGTCTAGTCCATTCCCTCTAAGTTTATTGTCCTGTGTCACCTAGCTCTGATTTTAGCTGATTTGCTGGACTGAGTCGCACTGTGCAATTCCAGCACAAAATTCAGTGAGCAAAAGCTCTCTGCCTTGCAAATAATAGTAACTGTGCAGTATTACAAAGGCCTTTCCTCTTATCTGTGGGACAGCTGGGGGACAAATCTTTCAAAGAAGTGCATTTTCAGGCAAATGTGATGGCTGATTTTTGACAGCTCATTTTACTGCCTGGTGCTAGCAGGGAGACTACTGGGGTAATCAGGATGTGGTGGTGATGGATAGGGCAAGTAACAGGAGGTAGAAATGGACATTTCCCATAAACTGTTACACACAGGTGCTTCTGGGTCTTCTGTGAGATTTCTACAATGACACAGGAAAGCCAGGAAAAGCTTAGGGAAAAAGAGGGGTCTGGGAAAACCCAGGATACGGCTTCTTCTTACAGCTGAATGAATTCACCCTATGCCCCAGGAGAAGTCCCTAGCAGGAGATGCCTCTCCTTGTACTGAGTTACCTCAGCAAGAAGGAAGGACCAAGCAACAGGAACCTGAGCCGCTGGAAAGTGTATCATAGCCTCAAACTGTATCAGTGCCAATGGGAAAGGTTCACCTTGCTCCTTCCCCAGCTCTTGGAAGGCAGGCACATCCCTGTGGTTGCTCTTGGCAGCTGGTGGTGACCACAGCTGCAGGAGTGGTGGTCCCCACAGCCCTTCTTGCTCTATCTCTGACCATCATGGTGGTTGGGACAGGGACAATGTGGCTCTCCAGGACCCTCTGCCCTTTTTTCCCCAGAGCAGCCCTGGAAGCTCCATATCCCTTTCTGTTTCCCATGTGCAGGGAAACATCATCAGCTGAAAGAGGCACGTATGAGGATGCAATGTGGAGTGCTGCATTACCTGGTGCTAATCAATAAAGTGAAAATGTAGCTTTTTGACAGCGCTTGTAATTTTGACTATTGCAATGGTGTGCCATTTCTTTGAATGCACTATGCTTCTGTGCCCCATTAAAGCATGGTTGGCATCGCTTTCAACTATTCACAAATGCTGAGATGTTGAAAAATGTAACATTTACAAAAGATACATCTGGTGTATATTTACAAGGCTCAGGAATCATTTAAATAGTGCTTGTGCCATCACCATATTAGGAGAAAAGTTAGTCCCAGCCGCATATGTGAAATCAGTAGTCGAACGTGTGCTGGTTGAAAGTCCACTGCTATGATAGAGGATTTTTGGGTATTAAATGTGAACATATCAACCTAGGTGTAACACTTGATTGAGATAAGGATAGATGCATGTGACATATATGATAACTGCCTATAGACACCTGTTTCAAATGGCGTGGTCACAAGAGGGTTATGGATTTTGAGGAATAAATGCTTAAATATTTTTTTATTAAAGAAGAATCTTTGGCTTCTCACTGTGAGATGTCATCATACCTTTTCCTGTTCTTCAATGAAAATTGTAAGACCTACATAGCTAAGAATCAGGAAAAAAGCTATTGAGCAGCTTCCTTTATATCACATAACATGTCAAGGACAAAAAGGTGTTTGTCTTCTCCTGCCAGTGCAATACCACTTAAGTTACATTTGAAAACTATTTTTTAATTAATGCAATGGGTCATGTTTTCACTACACTAAGGCAGGAAATTCAAGGTAAACCAGATACTCCTTTTCTCAGTCAAACACACATGAATTAAGCATCTAGCATCAGACTTAATTTCAATTTCTAGGTCTGTAATTGAATCTAGCTCAATGTGAACTTTTTTTTCTGCACCATCACATTGATATCTGGATGTTAGTGACATTATTTAAAGCAACAAATCAACCTATAGGACTGTGTTCAACTATATGTCATATGACAGTAAATGGAATAAAAAAAATGTTTCTTTTCTCTAGGGGCAGATTTGTTAAAGAGTTTTCATCTTTTGTCAAGATATTTAATCTTGGAATGTTTTAAAAAAAATGCAGTTTGTACAAGTGCAGATTTCTGCATGCACAGTTTGCCTGATTGCTAATTTGGCTGAACACACTTAGGCTTAACAGAGGCAAATGAGAGAGGAAAGATAATTTTTGCATATATCCTTCTGAGTCAAGTGTGAGTCCCTGGACTCTATAAGGGAAGCAGGCATCCACTTTTAGGACTGAAGGCTGTCACTCTGGATCACCCTGTACATCAGTCTCAGTTCATGCATGTCAATGAGAACAAATCCTAACAATGAGCTGTTGAGTGATGCCAGCAGAAATGCATGTTTCTGAAAGCTTCAGGGTTTTAGAGAAAGCAGCTGAAGGTGACTCTGCGGCACTCACCAGTGCTGCCTAACTGAAGGAGGGTGAGATTTTGGCACAAACCTCCCACGTAACGGACAATTTTGAACACACCTTTGTTTTTCAACAGTCTGAGTAAAGCTGGTACGGGACTATAGAATTAAGCCAAAATGCCCAACCATGTTATTTCCTCAGAGGGGTTCACTACAGAACAACCTAACCTAAATTATTCGCGCTACTAATAATTATTATTATTCATTGCTTTTGGTAAGCCTGTCGCTCCATCACAGTAGCAATCATGTGCTGGGATGTGTACTGCTTAGGACATCAGACTCCTTTGGAAGTGGATGATTGTTTAATTGATAGATTGTAAAGATGGGCTGACCTATTGCTTTTTCATGTTTTGCTTTGTTTCTGTTGCCTGGACTCTCGCAGCTCCTTAGTATCTTTCCTGATCAATCATGTCAGGCTGGCAGCTGTGCCTCTGCACATTGCCTGACTGTCCACCATGAGCCAGATTTCACTCTCAGACGCTTGGTGTACCCTCCTCCCTCACTGTCCTCTCACTGGAGAGGTGATTTTGCCTGCACCTCTATTAAGCGGCTTGATTTTAATGGGAACAACGGCTTTCTCCCATGGGTCCTTCTCAATCCGGGGCACTAGGCATGCAAGGACACAGGAGGGCACATTCCCTAGGTGTGTGCTATGTATCCAAGATCAGGCTCTTGCCTGACGTCTGTGGACTGAGCCCCCCACTCACCCAACTGAAAGGTCCTACTCAATACCGTGACCATTTTAATTTGGAGATATTTCCGACACTTTGTGTAACTTCTGCCCTCACTGTGGGCTCTCTGCTTTTCTCAAGCTTAATTTCTCTGTGTCATGCAGGCCCTCAAAGGATGGCATCTTAACAGAATAAATTCCGTTTTACATTGGTCCACCTCGAAAATTTTCCTCAGAGGTTCCCCCTCCTTCCTAACACTAGGAAAAAATGATTGGAAAGTGGTTGAAATGTTATAAGCAGATTTTCAAGAAGGAACAGATTTTTTTTTTTTACTGCCAAGCTGTATAGTAGGTGTTTTTGAGAGGTCGTTAACTTCAACAGTATAGTCAGAAACAGTGTTACACCCCATACTGCATCCATCATTAAGCAATTAAGTTACTCATAGGCTTTTACATTTATTTACCTTGATGGAAAGATATGTTTACTGAACCTGAGTACAAATCAACATGAGAAGGTGGAAGTTCAGAGTAAATTTGACTAATGATGATGTGTTTTCATCCCTAAAAGAAAGAAAAAAGCCTCCCTGCTTTTGATGCTATTTTATCTTCATTGGAAGGGATCTGAAATGATCCCAACTGTCATGTGAGCACTCAGTTAGGCTGAGATCCTCTTTGATTGCAGCTGAATATCTCTTTCCGTTGGCTCATACCTTCCCTTATATGAATACAGTGTACAGCACTTCAGGTTGTTTGTTGAACAGCGCTTTAACTCTTCCTCTGTGAATGCCCTTACAATTATATCTTTAAGCAAAATGTGGGCTGTGGCCACCTGTGCCTGAGGAGATGTTAATGTGGCCGTATCATTCATGTGAAGGAAGAATTTCCTCTTGGTTTCAGAATAACTTCTAAAATACGAACAAGCCATATTTCTTCCAGTGAAAGTTAATTATCTCTGCTTTTTTTTCTAGGCCTGCTCTCTTCTCCACTCTTGGTACATGGATTTTTCTCTCTCCAAGTAATTCCTCGGCATCGCCTTGAAAGACATCTGCCACACGTGAGCATCCTCCACAATCTCTAAGATACTTTTGTTGTTTTTCTTCTTTGAACATTTGTTTTTTTTGAGATGACATTGACAGACATGAGGCCTAAGTCTGGAGATGTTCTGTGGGTAGAACTCACATTTATTTCAGTATGTCGAGCAGCTTTAGGATCTGATCCATATTGAAGACTAACATGGCGTAATGAGGCCCGGGCATATAAAACAATATGTATTCTAACACAGCTCACTCAAAACAAATATGTTCCCTTCTCCCTGGCTGGTATAAACAAACAATCTCCATTGTGTTCCACATGGTTCTGTTGCACTGCCTTGCACATAGCAAGAGCTTGGCTTCCCTGTTCACAAAAATGGCATCTCCATCCTGTGACATGGAGCTTTCTGCCACATGCCCAGACAGACCGGTACCTTAGGACACTGTTCCTAAAAACTGACATTAGGTCTGGTGTTAAATCCTAAATGCTTTATGGGCAAAGTTTTCTTGTACAGATATAATTAAAAGAGGGTCTTGTTTCTGAATCCTGTGCACTTCAGTCTGACAAAACTGACTCTGGATTGCACAGTTGGAAAGCAGAGAATCAGCGTAACAGTTGATGCAAGATCCGCTCATGCTGACCCATAAAATCTTCTCCAATATCTAAATTTCCTTGAGATAAAAATCAGCAGCTGTGTGAAAAATTCGTGATGACTCGAGGTAGAAATATTAGCAGAGGAGAGTTCAAAACTCATGTGTGAGATCCATTGTCTGTGTGAAGTGCAGCAAGTTTGAACCCAGGTGTTCCTTGTGCGATTGAACTCAGACTTTTATGCCATTCTGCAAAGCCATTACCCTCTCCTGTAACTTGTGCTAGAAGCAGAGTGAGCTGTTCTGGCACTGAAATGATTTCATTGTTAGGCTAAGTGTTACACAGATGGCATTCTTAAATGTAAAATTCTTTTTATGATTCTTTCAATTTCATATTTATTTCATTAGATCATTATTTATGTTAAAGAGTCACTATTAATCTGAAACGTGCTCAGCTTGAAAGAAAATGTTGAGAGGAGTTTCAGGTATCTGATCCTTAATCCTTTAGTTTTTGTGTTTTGCATTTTCCTATTTAAAATGGTTTTTTGTGTCTCTAGGTGCTATGTGACAGATCCACACAAACAACAGAGGGGAAAGAGCCTCACTTAACTGATTAGAGGAGTGAAGCAGTGAAAGGGAATATGCACAAAGCGCTGCCAAGTTCACAGAGCAAAGGAAAAGATAAAAAAAGAATCATTTCACCGGCTTTTTTTTTTTATATAGCGAGTAATGTGAGGTATTTCTTATACTAGCAGCAGGGAAACAATTTTCAGACAAAAATGTGATTTCTTAATCAAGGGTCTCTAATTCAAAATATATTTATTTAATAAACAGTAATTATGATAGCAGCAACTACTCATTCATATCAATAATTCATTCAGAAGTAAACCATATCAACATATTAGCATTTATTTTTCCATTTAATAGGCTGTGATTTAAAATAAATGTAAATCATCATAATCATTCAGCTCCATATGCTGGGAAAGAAAAAGTCACCTTAAACCAGATGCATATTGTGAAAAAAAAAAGAAAAAAAAAAGAAAAAGGGGAAGACAAGTTGTTCTAAAGAAACAGCATATGGGAGCAGATCTTAAGCTAGGGTAAAGATATGGTGCTTTGTAGATGTCAATGTAGTTTTAGATTAGATATTAAGAAGAAATTCTTCACTATGAGGATAGTAAAGTACTGGAACAGGTTATCCAGAGAAGCTGTGGAATTGTTTAAGGCCAGGTTGGATGGGACTTTGAGCTGCCTGGTGTAGTGGAAGGTGTCTCTGCCCACGACAGTGGGGTTGGAACTAGACAGTCTTTAAGGTCCCTCCCAACCCAAACAAATCTGTGATTCTATGATTCGATGATAACGAGGCTGAGTTATGCCAAATGAGATTCTAGTCAGTAATTTTCAAGAACTGGGAGTCACATGCTGATTTCTGTCTTTTAGAAAATAGATAAATATGATTTCTCTCAGTTTTAATTAGGAAAAGGCAATATGTGTGATCAAGAAAATCCTAGTTTGAAGTTGCTTATGTATGGAAAAAATAGGCTCTTTGCAAGTCCTAAGCTGACTCTGCACTTGTACCTGTTTGTGTGCTTGGAACTGTATTTATTTTTCCTGTCTCTATTTAGCCAAACCCTCTCCTAACTTGTACCCCTGACTTACCCACATCATTTTGTCAGCTGACAGCTCTTTTTCAGCTCCCTAACCCCTCAGCACTCCTGAGGCACTTCTGTTGAACACTTATGTTTCTGTACCCTGTCTGAGATCCACAAAGTGGCGTTTGGAGGCTGTGGAGCAGGGTTGTACTTAGGAATTTTTTTTTTTTGCTTTGGACATAGGGAAAAAGCAATGAAGGGCTCAAGCCCCGGACAGCATATGCCACTGCTGCTACAGCATCTCAAGCAGTTGGTGTAGGTCTTGTCTTGTTGCTTTTTTTGTTGCTTTAGCTTTCAGTAGGTGAGGTTGTGGTGGAGAGTAGGGTGTCACTGCTCTGCTCGTTCTGTTCCCACATCCAAGCTGGCACTGATGGCCTTGCCACAGCCATATGGCCCTCTTGTCCTCTGATGAGCTCAGCAAAGCCCTTTCTCTCCCACAGACAGAGCATCCCGTATTCCAGCAGGAAAAATAAGGCCGTGCATCACTCCTTCCTCCCTGAATTATTGCAGTGATACTCTTAGAGGACTGAGGGAGGTGATGGCTGCAGCCACAATGCTGTGAGCATGGTGCAGATTAACTCTGTGAAAAGGTGTTTTCATATCCTTGCAGGTGAGTTTTGTCACCTGTATAGTTATCATGTTACTCTTCCAAGGCCGTTGGTGCTTTCCCAGCAATGACTGCCCTGCGCATGTAACCTGCTCTGCACGAGGATCTATAGTCTCAGGCAGTAAAGTTAAAGTGGTACCTGACTTTTTTTTTTTTCCCAGTCTCTGCCACGCTTTACACTGTTAGTATTCTTCCAACAATTCTTAAGGAGAAAAGTGATGTTTGAGAAATGTTTGATTTTCCCTATTTTAGTAGAGAAGAGCCATGTTTTTTCCACAAGTTATTGCATTATTCCTCTCTTCGGTGTGGCTCTGATTTAGTGCTGGATGAAGCTCAAAAGGAGGATTAGTGTAGATAGAGTCCCATATGCTTGGATGCATTTCTGAACTGTGTACTATCCTCACTGCTTTTGATAGAAAAAGCTGGGCTATAAACCTGATGAGAACAGGCTTCCATGCAAGATGTTTAGTATTTCCTGCTTCCATTTGGGCCAGGAATAAGGCACATCCAGCCCCTTTTGGCCCTGCTGCTCTTGGTCATGGGCTTGCCTGAAATTTAGTGAATCACAGTGGTGGAAAATGAATGGGGGAGTGAAAGGAAGTTGATTTTTCTCCACTTTAATATAGGTTAGATTAGGGTTTAGTTCCGGCTTTGGCAGAAACTTTGCTGGGGAATGGACACAGGTAGAATGTTTTTATTTTAATAGAATTGGTTCATCTGTCTTTTAGGTAGTTTCACTGGAGTGCAAGTCCATTTTTATGGTCCTGAGTAAAAGACCTTGTGCTGCTTTTAAAGAGGTGTACCTTCTGGGAAAATTAGAGCTGGCTGTAAAACTCTGACTGTATTGTATTCAAGGCAATTGCGAGCCTAGGAAGAGAGAAAGAAGAAGAGAAAGATGAAAGAGGAAGAGAGGGAGGCTTTCCAAAGATAAGCTGCTACAATGAGTCATGCTACTCCTCCATGCCTGGGGGGCTTAATACCTGATCATTTTTCTAGCTGGTAATCAAATTGTTAAATAGTGTAACATCAAGGAGTACTGAAGTTGATCCTAAAACTGTTGTTGTACTACTGTTTGCGGGTTTTCTTCCTTAGTATTTTTTTAAAAAGAATTTCCCAATAGTAATCTTATCAACTGATAATTTTTCTGATTCTCCCTTCCATTACAAGGGTTTCCAAGTTTATGAATGAAAGGCTATGTTTTCTCAAACAAATCCTCCACTCCTCGGTCTATTAGTAAAGTAATGTTAACTTACAAGATTTGACTGAAACCTCAGGATCTGCCAGCTGGATGTTTGAAGAGTCCAAGCTGGCTAGGTAAAGAAACACCTTTTTCACATGATCCAGCCCAGCTCCCACGTTGCCCCACAAGTTTCTATCAGTACAAAAGCTGACATTGTCTGCAAGGAGCAACTCAGATTACAGTCTCTTCCAGCTGCATTGCCCCTGACCCCAATCCTGCCCTGGGCTGCCCATGGTCTGCCCTCCCCACATGCACAGAGACTTCAGCTGCAGCTCACTGACTGCCAGCACTGACTCTGGTCTTGAGGGTGGCCTTGAATGCATTTTAAAAGGCAGCACAGATGCTTTGTGAGGATAACATGGAATGATTATTTTAGGGCAGATTTTCCCCTAAAAAAATAATAGTTCTACATGCACACAGTTTGATCTTCACACAAAGGATTTATATAAGAATTCACTTCTCTCTGTCAGTGACAAAAAAAGCATGCTGGTGGGATTTAGGGAAGTGTACAGGCTAAAGGATAGCAGCAGACAAAAGGAAATTTTTCTTGTGAGATCATCTGTGCAACTGGAACTCTGGTACCGTTCTGGTTTGAAAGCCTATAGGTATTGCTTGGCTGGGGCAAGGGACAGTGCCTCTTTGGCACCCTCCCGACATGCAAATGCGGCCAGAGGTTCTTAGAGCAGTCCTCAGCCCCGTCCCTTGTTTTGTACACACAGATGCATGCACATTACTTTGCTATCAAATGGCTGTTTTGGGGAATCAGTCACCCAGGAGGTAAACTGTACATAAATGATCTAAGGGTAAAGGTGGTGGAAGAAACTCTGTTTCCTTTACATGCTGAAGTAGATACAAAACAGGTACAAAGTTCACCTGGATTTTCAGGAAGAGAATAGCTACAATGGCTCTAGACCAGCAGAAAACCAGCATCCCTGACTCCTAGATGCCCTCTAAAAATGTGCCTGTATCTCAGACCGGAGTAACTTAACAGTAGGTCCGCTAGAGAAACAGCCCTGACAGCCTAGCAAGAACCCAGCAGGATATGAAAGATACTCCCCTGTGGCACCTGCACCTCCCGAAGTCCTTTTAAGGTCAGGTCTACACCTACGAGTAGAGCACTGCCTAGCTCTGTCTTTGTGGCATGAAGGAAATGTATGTGTGAGCCTGGAACTGCTCAGATTTTTGTCTATCTCAGGTTGGCCCCATTCAGCCATCTCTGCCCTTCCCGGGGAGCGAGTCCCAGATCCAAAGACAGATCCTAACGATATAGCCTGTGTGCTTGCTTCTAATATAACATGATGCTTAAAAACTGAATATAAGCAGGGATGAGGCTTTAGATCTTCCTCAAATCTCAGTGTAACTTTGAGGTTGTCAGACAGTACTGAAGTGAGAGATCTGGAGTAGTAAAATTAGTGAACACAAAAGTCATGATATTTACTCAGTTTATGCATTTTCTCTCTTTTTTTTTTCCATAAAACCTGCATAACTGGCATGTAATTGTTTTACTAAGTGAGTCTTGAAAGCAAAAGTCTTGATAGCTGTCACATATCTTCTTTGTAGTAAAGTGTGTTGTCCTCAGAAGATAATCAGTAGAACTTGCTCAAAAAAACTTAATCAGCAGAACTGAGTGTATTGTCAGTGCTTAACAAATAATAAATTATAACAGTGTTCCTTTTGACACAACCTATCAAACTTTTTCTTTCTTTCTCGGATGCTTTACTCATCTCTGTTTAGGATTTAATACATACTACAACTCTGTTTTTTATGGTTGAGAGGACTGGCGATGCTACCTAACAGGGTGGAAGTATTAATTGAAATGAAATATTGACAAATGGCAGAAAAAACCTCCAAGAAAATTCTTGGGCTGTTCCTTTTCACTTACTGATATTGCTTATAAGTCTTAAAAACTGAATTAAAGAATAGATTTGATCTGTTCCATTGTTATAATGTAAACCACTTTGCTTACAAGTTAGTAGAATCACTTTCAAATTTCCTGATAGTCTGTTTTTTTAAAAGACAGACTCATTAACTTTTCTTTACAGAAAGGTGAATGTATCCAAAAGCACATCTATTATCATCAATTATTTTTATTACAAGGAGCTTGGCTAGCTCAGAGAGTTGTTAACATACCTGCGGTTATCACTTCTTTGTCACCATTGTAATTTGGCCTGGACTGGGAGTTACCAGCAATCATTTCATTTGCTGTTCATTTGGTAGTTTCTGTGCAATTTTTTTTTTGAGTTTTATTCACTTTCAACAAGACGTTTATTCATGTCATAGAGAAAAACACCGGGTCAGCTCTAAGCTGCCACTAATTGTCACAGGCTTTAATGGACCCATTTCAATTTATCCCAGTTGAGGATCTGACCAATGATCACAACGGGCATTAATTAGCAGATGTGTTATCAGAATCCATGGAGATGTCCTGGTTTGAGTGACAAGAGAAGTGCTCAGCTGCTGCAGCCGGTGGAGCCGTGCCAGTTTGGCAGCTGACAGCACAGAACCCAATGCCGGCAGGTGGAAAGTCCAGGTCACCCCTGCTGGAGGCACAGTGGTGGCTTCTGTCACAAGTCTCCATGTAGAAGGAGCCCTGGAAGGAGCCCAGAGCACCAAGCAGCTGGTTGTATTAAAACAGAAGCAACACAGGGCACCTGGGAGCGGGAAGGCAGGGAGAGAAGAGAGGGAGAACGCAGCACTGAACCGACTCATCCTGAAGCTGGGTTTGCACAAGAGATTGCACTGCTAGTAACAGGGTAGAGCAAGTAGCAAATGTGTTGGGGCTCTGGCTTTCCATGTGCGCCGTATGAACTGACGCTCCAATGCCAGTTGTGCATGCATGGCAGAAGGGTGGGGCAGACACATCTAAAAAGAGGGGGTCCTAAGAAGCAGTTGGCTTTCACAGAAGCAGCTACTGACAGTAGCAATGTTATTGTGGCTGTAAACTAGGGGTTCAGACCATGACTAGAAGAGTGTCTTGAGCAGATCATAGGGGTGAATGAAGAGCAGGAATGTGAAAAATTTGAGATGCTGCACCTTTATGGGGAAAAAAGAGAGTAATACCCTCCCATTTTTCTTATCTGAGTGCAGCATGGGTTAAAATCAAGGCAATAACCTGTACAGATACTAATTGTTCAGTAGCAGCCATTTTGTCTTCTTTCTCACGCCCACATATCATCACAGGATGGTGGATAGGAACAAGTTGTCAAGCTAATAGTGTGGGACCTTTGTAAAGATTTACGGCCTCCCAATATTTACAGGACAAACCTGGATGACAGGTAGCTCAGGGAGTAATTTTTTCAGCTGCTGACACAGTTTCAAAATTTCCTTAAGTAAATTGACCCCATGCAGTTTGATTCACTGGGAAAAAAATATCTTTTTATTGTGTGATCTTTTTATCGTAACCCAGGAAAGGAAGACAGCAGGAGAGTGAGAGCTAAATAGTACTGGGAATGGAGAAGTTTTTAGACTGGTCCCAGACCTCTGACCCTGTCAATGGGAAGATGCAGAGTATTTGAAGAAGGTGCAGATTTTGTCACCCTTCCCGTACACTTCTCCCACCACTTAAAGCAAGATATGAAAATTTTTCTGTGAAAAATCTGGGTCCTTCTCTGAACAGCTACCTCTGGGCCCAAAGCCACAAAAGGGGATGACTGAGACTCATGTGGGATACGGATGTCCAAGTCCATATTCCCAACCACACACAAGTTCACCTGAATTTTTGATAAGAAGGATCTTAAGACATCTAAAATCCACATTCTGCTCCTGTCTCTGGCCAGTCACTAGCTCAGCTGAGTTGAACTTCCCAGCAGTTAATCCCAATTCACCTCTTCAAACTATCCATGCTTTGCTCACACATTTATCGAGAACAGCCTGGCAAAGCATGTGTAACGCAGGATCAGGACTGAGCAGTACATAAAGTACAGCAGCCATGTTCACTGTCATTGAAAGTAAATATCTTCAAAATCTGCCCAAGCCCTTATCTCTTATCTGCAATGAAAGCAGGAACCCTAGCTAGGAAGCTACCAGCTAAATATTCATGGGGGAAGAGATTTTCCATACTTCCTGCAGAAGTGGTGCTGAAATGCATAAGGTTCTCTGGGAGGAGTTTAAGGCAATAAGGTGGAGAATAAGATACAATCTCCATCCCTATTCTGCTGAATTAGCTTGCTGTTTTGGATTGGTGCAAGATAGAGGATCTCTTTTGTTATACTCATTGCTGCGTAAGGTGTTTCTTAAACATTGTCTTCTCAGCCTAATGAAAATACAGTGATTTTTCAGAAAAATCAGTAGAACATATTCTCAAAGGATACGATGATTATTGGAGTTTTAATTAAAATAGCAGGTAAAATAAGTATTATGGTGTGCTATTATTTCTAAAATAACAACAGAATAAAGATGCCCATTTCTTTCTTGAGTGCAATTTTCTAAATGAAAAAGTAAACATTAATATCTGCAGAGATCTTACTGATCTTGTATGATAATTTAGAAAAATATCCCTATTAGGGATAGTTATATATGCTTTTTGTTGGAAATGCAATCACAGGATATGCACATAGCTGCAATCTGTAGACAGATTAAGTAAATTAAATCACTCAATGTCTTTTTTTCAATAGCTCTAAATTTAAAAGTAATTTGCAAAGAAAATACTCAGTTTCAATTGGTTTGTAATATCTGTTAATGATCTTTGGAAAAATTTCTGATAACATGCAGGAATTCCCTCAGGGACAGGGTTGTGAATAAGTGGATTTTTTTAAGTTTGAGATGTCATTAGCTAGTGATTTCTTTGAAGTAAAAAGCTGTTACAGAATAAATTGCAGAGGTATACAAGTGAACAGGACAATCATTTTTATGAATAATATACATTATTTTCACTGTGCTTTCTGCCCTCCAAAGAAATAATTTACAATCTAACTTGTCATTACAAACATCCTGGAATCACAACTGCATGTGCATTTTGTGCTTACTTTATGTATATGCTCTGACTCTATATAAAACTACAGCTTGCTGGTGTCAAACCACTGGTGTAAGGAGTTGATTTCTTTTTATTTTTTTTCCTTTTCTTTTCCCCCCAGTAGATAACTTTTTCAACCCACAAGACTGAAACAACTTCCCTTAATTGAAATGACTCCAGAACAGCTATTCCCTAGAAGACATCTTCCTTGATTTCTTGCGAGGCCTATAAGATGACTGGAGTTGTAGGTAAGTGCAATCATGGAAAAAAGGGTCTCTATTCTCTTGGTACCTTGTTAGCATTAACATATTCTTAACAGTTCAGAGACAAATCAGATATCTATCATGCATCACCATAATAAGGTAACACTTTTCAGGGCAAATGAGATTTCCTGGCTTCTGTCCCCACCTTAGGATGTCTGAAGTAGAAAAGAGTGCCAGAGACACCACAGAACATGGGAAATGTTGTCCTGCTTCTGAGGTTCAGATATACAACTCAACCATGGGCAGCTGAGGATGGACTTTCTACCTCCATAGGTTTCTGTGGGTAAGTCTGGGGTTTAGATGGGAACTGGGGACTCTCTGAAGGGGTGCTGGTCTGGGTAAAGGGGCACTAGGACTCCCGTGTGTGCTGTCACACAAATCAAAAGATACTGCTAATTGCAGTCACTGAGCTTTGATTTCCTCACCTTTCTCCAAACCTTTTCTACCCAAGACCTTACTGAACTTGGTCTGCTTTTTCCTGATCTACAGGTAGGGTCGAAGACACACCATGCTAGCATGAGTATGACTGTTGCCTCCAGGGTTCCCACAAAGGGCTGGAGGAGAAAGGATTTTTCCAGGTCTAGAAAGAGATATGATAGCCACCAGTTTGAAAAACCTCCTAGACTTTCCTGATCCTCTGAAGGCCCAGTGTAGGAATTGGTACCTGCCCTGATAATGCATCAGTAGATCAGAGCTTCTCATACATAGATGTTTAATGACGCTCTGCAGTTAAGCTGAGAGTAGTGGGCCTTCCTGGCTGCTCCTCAGCAGCCCCTGGCATTGGTCAATCCTAAGATGCCTGGACTTTGACAGAGATCAATACCAGACCACATATAAGGAGATTCTCCCTCCTCACTGTGCATTTAACAGTGTCACAGTTTACCATGGATTAAGGTGCTGTCTTGACACTGTCTGTTGACTGGCACACACCATGAAACCCTGAGATCATTAGACATTATTACATAATTGCATCTAGTGAAACTCATAGATCTTTTAAGGCTTGGAGCAACCATTATTGTCATCGAATATTATCTTCTGCTTAATGCATGCTACTGAATTTAACCCAATCTGAACTTTGTGTGAAGATTTGCTTTTATGCCTAAAAATGCCTCCTCGCTTACAAATATGATGTTGTTTCTCTCAGTACTAACTCTGCAGCAGCAAGTTCCATTAATTAACTGTACATTGTTTGGAAAAGCAATACCTCCTATCCATTTGAAATTCAATACCTTTTCGTTTCACCTTGCAGGATAGGAAAGATTTTTTTCCTTTGCTGCTAATTAAGTTTGAAGATCATGAGGATGAAATGTTATTTATATTATAGTCATGCTTAAGCAGAACTCTGGCACAGCCTGGAGATCCCACCACACAAAGTGAGGGAGACTGTGTAAGTCCTTCGGGGCTCAGACTATTTTAATAGACAAAAGGCACATTTTTGAGGAAGACGAGTGATTTAACTGAAAAGGTTACCAGTGTCAAGTCAATGGACTTGTACCTCTCAATCACCTCTGACTTTCAGAAGTTTTAAAGAAAGGTAGGGAAAAGCAAAGTCTCTAAAAGACCAGAAAAATAAGTCAGGGATACGGTCAAGTCCCTGTAAAAGGATTTTCCCTTTTCCTGTAGTGACAGGACAAGGGGTAATGGCCTTAAACTGAAGAAGATTAGATTTAGATTAGATATCAGGAAGAAATTCCTTACTGTGGTGGTGGCGGCGAGACACTGGAACAGGTTGCCCAGACATGTTGTGGACTCCCCATCCCTGAAAGTGTTCAAGACCAGGTTACATGGAGCTCTGAGTAACCCAGTCTAGTGGAAGGTGTCCTTGCTCATGGTGCCAGCTTGGAACTAGAACTTAAGGTGCCTTCCAACCCTAACCATTTTATGATCCTATGATTTAATATAGGAAAAAAGGTGTTACTTAACTCTGTGTTCTGTCCACTATCCATGGGTCAGACTGGCCTTCAGTGGCTGAAAGTTCTATGAGAGGACAGGGTACACTGTGGAAAATACCTTCAATATCTGATTCATGCAAGGGCCCAGAGCCTTCCAGAAGAACTGCTGGGGTCCAAGGACATCTTCTAGATTATCTCAGACAACATGTATTCAGATTTTATGGAGAGGGTTCATTCAGTTTGTGTATGATTTGAATCATAGAATGATTAAAGACATCTAAGATCATGGAGTCCAACCATTAATCTAACACTGCCAAGTCCTCCACTAAACCATGTCCCTAAGTTCCATATCTGTGAGTGTCCCATGAGGATAAATCTTCCCTGAGAGACAAGCTAACGCTTATGTTCTTTAACTTTTCTCAAGAAATTTCCCATCCTTTTGACTTTTATCATTTTTATTACCATTCCCTGGACTTGTTCTATTTCCACTTTCTTTTTTCAGGAATGAGGTGACCAAATTTGAAGACAGTATTCAAAGTGAGGATGTGCCACTGATTTATATAATAGCATTATAATATTTTCTATATTATTCTCTAAAACTCTTATCTTTGTACAAACCCCATAAGATTCTTTTAATTCTTTGAAGTACAGTGCCTTTTAACATCTGTAGTTTACTCTGATCACATTTTAACAAAGGAATAAAAGGCTTCATTTTTCACATAGAATTTTATTTATTGTTTGAACTTTAGAGGAGAAATTGGTTAACTTACAATTTAAAATTCTTGGCAATGTAGACTATCGGGCAAGAATATAATTATCAGCCCTTCTATACTTACCGTAGAAATGTGTGAGACTGAAAGTTGGTGTATAAGGTCTTGACTCAATAGACTCATCTTTTGTCTTATAAATGCAGACAAAGACATAATTTTGAGCTGCCAGCATCCCCAAAGATGTCAGAAATGTCATTCACCTGTACCTCCTTCCTGATGAAACATGCTGGACCCATACATTTACATGCTGTTCAATCAGGACCACGCACATGTGCAAGTAGTACCTGACTTCTGCAGTCTCCCATTTACTGTACCACACACCTCCACGCCAGGTCAGAGGAAGACCCCTTTGAAAATGAGGCACTTGATGATTGCAGAGGGTAGGGATCTTGCTCTCATGTCACAGCTTGGCGTTATGCCTTCATCAGGGTATTAGAAAAGGCTCAGGGAAAATGGTTACAGCTATTCTATTGCCTAAGACACTTCCTGCAGCTACTGCCTTTCCTTAGAATTACCAATCCAAGTGGTGACCCTGCCTGACCCTACTTATCTTGTAAAAGCTGACAAGATCACAGCCTGAAGCAGTATAGCCACAGGCTCAATACCGGCTACCAAAATGTCTGTTTAGTATTTTCAAGAAATGCTGCTCTAAAGATTTACAATACCAGCTGCTAGATACATGAACAACACCAGCACACAGCTCTGACCCCTGAACATTCAGCCCCACTTACACAGAAATTTGTGTCTCTCAAGAGGCCAACACCGAACTGCTACCAAACAGTGATTCCCTACCTGCAAGCACACTGGATTTTTAGCACTATTTGATTATATATACTAAGATATTAGGTAAAAGTATTTGAAAACTAGTTTGAGTTCAGAATTCATTGTTATCTTTTTTTCATCAGTTGCATTACTGCTTTAGCAACAGAAAGAGTTCTACCATTTCTGTGTAGTACATTTTTTTATTTCAGTGTAGAGAATTTTCTTCATCCTTCCATGACCAAAGTAGTTTTTCATCAGAAGTTATTTTTAGATGAACTCTAAGTTTCTTTCCTAGCAAACATTTTAGCTGCACTGTATGAAAGGAAATTCACATTTCCCTAGATATCTCTAAGGATAAACACAGGTTTAAATATCCAAAAAGATCTTGGGGAACAATCTGGTTTATATATATACATTCATGTAGCAGATGCAGTAAGAGTTCTTGCAGAGTAGTGTGGCTTTTTTTAACCCTTTTCTTTTTAGAACAGCAAAGACATGGAAAAGACATTGAGGTCCTGTTGCTCCTGTGGAAACTTCTGTTGGCTGCAGCATGAGTTGGATTGGACCCAGAGAAACTGAATACACACAAGTAATGATGAGTTGGCCATACAAGCAAGGAAAATCACAGATAACAGGTGCACACCAATTAGCAGTGTACCTTTTAGGTCATCCAATACAGCTCCGTGTCACAATGAGATTGTTTCATATGGTATATTTTTGTTTTTTTTTTTTTTGTTCCTAGATTAAATGCCCTGGTGATGCCATGTCTCTAGGGAGAGTTGTACTGCCTACAGTATCTTTTGTCAGGAGCTTTTTTCCTTTCTTACCATCATCATATTTCTTTTTACAACCCTTTGCAAATTTCCTTCTTTCCCTTCATTGATATCTTTTAACTAGTGCGATGTGTTTAGTTAACATTAAGCCAACCCATAGATATTTGGATCACTTAATCTTCCCTAACCTAGAAGTCCTTTCAGTTTTCTTGTTACTCCTCATCTATTCTAGTCACGCTAGATAGCCTGTCAATATCTTTTTTTAGCTATGAGATTCTAAACATGCGATACCTTTCTCTAAACTAGCAACAGATCTGATGTAGAGCTGAGCACCATTCATGTCTCCTCACTGAAAATCTTTCCTGATGTGCCCAGAGGAAAGCTGCCAGCACTCTGAACAGGCATACAGGTAGAGTGCTCAAACCACTTCCTTGGTGCCTCTTACTCTGTTGGCCAACAAAATCCTATTGAAACAGTTGACGTAGTAGTTCAAAAAACAAATGCATTTCATTATGGATTTATTTTATTTCTCATAATGTAAAAAAGACAGATTAGTACAGATAAAAAGACCTTTGTTGCTGTTTTTGAGATTTTCTAGTTCTTGGTCATGGATGTCATATTCTAAAATTATGGAAGACGTCAGCTTCCATAACTATGTCTGAGTGCTAGGAAAGTACGTTGTAGAAAGTAATTACATACATACTCGCAAGCCTAGCTGTTCACTTCAAGCAATAAATTCTGACCTACAAACAACACTCCTTTAGAGCTAAATATGATCTTGGTTGTAATGGACTGTCTTTACCTTAGTGTTCTGTTGTATTGGAGGAATATAATTTTAATCTGCTGTCTTTAAATTTTCATTAAGGAACATTTCAGCTACCTGCAGCCTCATCTGATGATGTTTAATGATATCAGCTAGCTTGATCTTCCTCCATGCACCAGCAGGGACTTCTTTAAATTGCTCAACTGTATGGAACACTGTTTTCAAGTTTAATGTACTTGGAATTGACCTTTTAAAGTAATGGCATTTCTAATTTTAGATATTTAAATACAATTTAAATACACAGCACACACATATGTTTGCATTTATATGTGCGTGTGTGTACACCTATATATATATATATATATAAGTGCACACATATGTATAGAAATGCTGATTCTATTCACCTTTTTAAAATCATTACAGCTAGTATTAACATGAATGTGCTGTTAAATTGGCAGTGTTATACATTTTTGTTGGAGTTTACTTCTGTAACATAAAACCAGAAAGATAAGCTGTGAAACTCGTGCAGCTGATGACATAATTCTAGAATCTCATGATGCTGAATCTCATATTGCTAGGAGTGTGGGATGGATGTTCTTTGCTGAAATAATTATACTGTCTCTTGCAATATATGTTTCCTTGTTTTCATGTGGGTGCTGAGAAATCCAAATCATTAAACATAAATGGTACAATGAGTCTTGTGTTCCTTATTTATTCTAAAGAAGGTAATAAATTTATATGGTTTTATGGCATAATAAAGCCAACTACTTTAGGAATCTGTGATGAACATAGCAATAATCCGTGACAATATGCATATTTACTTTTAATAATTATGTCCAATTGTACATATATGCATATAGATATGTATATATGTATATACAAACACACGTAGAGAGACATATGCATAAATTAAACAGAACCAATTAGAAGGTGGCATAAATAGATTCAAACCTTACCTGTTATGGTTGTGTGAAGGGATAATTTGAGCTACAAGGACATGAAAGAAAGCATACTCAATACACTCCATTGGCTCATTCTCATTATGCTCAACAGTGACAGGCTATATGCTAAGATGGGGTACCAGCAGACGTTTGTAATGACAGCTGGTTCAAAACAGAGCTTTCAAAATAGTGCAACACCCCCAGCTTCCTTCCAAATCTTGGTGTTTGCCAGCATTTAGCTGAGGCTGGCTCTTAAGGTCAGATGTTCAGATGTAAGTTATTCAGAAAGAATTTTCTTCTTTATGTTTGAACTGTATATATATTCAACATATAGGCTCTTTGTTGCCCATGAATTTGCATTTAAACTCACACATGGATCATGCTTGTCCACTACCTGCTAAAATGATGGATGTTTCTCCCTGACATTGCACCCTATTTTTCTGAGATGTCCTCTGTTGAGTTCTCTTGTGGGGTACATAAACTGAGACTCAGATAGTAGCTCTTTCTTTTTACTGGGACTGAAAAACTCCTCAGCCTCTCTGTTGAGAAACGGAGGAAAAGCGACTTCCCTTTAGCATCACCCACATCTCGCCCACCATGCTCGGCCAACTAGGAACACAGCAAAAAAACCCCCAAACAACCAAACTTCAGATGTCATGTGTGACTTTTCCTGGTGGACGTATATAGAATTTGGAAATAAACATACTCCTACTTTGGAGGGAAAAGCAAAAAGGGTTTATCTATTTGCATTTGAACTCAGTGAAAAATACCTGAGCATGGAAAGTGCACTTGAAGGTAAGACATGAACATAAGCAAAGCTAAATTTCACTAAGCTAAATTCAAGTGAAATGTGCCACATTTTTATAATTACTACAGAGAACATGCACTAATTAATTGTTACGCTGTGCTGGTGAAATAGTTAAGTATTCTATATGGGGCGAGTAGAGGAGGTTACTGATGCTATTGACTTTGCTTAGAAGCCAGTATGTGGGGAGCATGCCATGAACAGCCTTGTGAAAATGAGGTTGGTGAACTGATTTGGTCTTAGAAATTACTTTTCAGAGTGGTTAGAAAAATATTTTAAATCTAAGATAAATTTTAGTTGTACTGGATTACTGGACTGCTAAGTGTGTGCATTGTGTTCAAAAGCAGGTTTTCATTTGCCTTGTCACTGGGGGACCCCAAGTGCTAAGCGTCAGATCTTCAGAGGGATTCAGACAAATAATAGTGCTGTTCTTTGGGGATCTTCAGAGCTGCCAGGACACTTCTCTGTAAATGAAATTAAGGGGACGTGAGCATCAGGGGGTTTCAGAAAAGCATTGACTGGGTACCTATCAGTCTCTTGCGGAGCTGCACTCATTTCTGAAGTGTTGACCCTGCTTTAGTTGGAGATGCATCTGGGGATATGTTGAGGGGAACAGGATGGGTCTGTGCTCATTTCTGGAGGAGGTATAGATCTCCTGCAAGCCAGAGGCCTGTGCAGGGCTGCTTCCCTGCAGCAGGCTTGCTTGGCTTACACCCACCCATCCTGTTAGCTCCATCATGGTATGTGTGAGCAGTGTTGGCCTTGCACTCAGTCTGGCGACGCTCCTGTTTGCCATCAGCCTTCCCTCCTGGATCAAGGCCGTTGCCGATTGCTGAGGGGTGGCCAGGGGCAGCTCCCTCTGGTGAACCTCTTTTGTGCTTTTATCTCCCACTGCTTGGCAGTAAGCTGCCACTGGCTCACAGCCATGGCCCTCTCGCTCTCCCCAGTGCCCAGCTTGCATGCTCAGCCAGTGCCTACATCTCTTCCAGCAGCTGGCCCTACTTTTCCTCCACAGCTGGCTGCTGCCCCCTACTGTGGTAATTATTATTTATTATGGATATTCAGTGTACATTACGTGTCCAGAGTCCAGTACAGTCTGAATCACTACCAGGGTCCCACTGTGTGGGCAAGAAGCACAGTCGTACACAGTTGTTCCACACTGATATTCTCTCTACTCTCATGCAGAGAGAGACTCAGAGGAAAGGAGTGAAGGTAGTTGTTTGCACCCATGAGCACTATCTGATGCGACACCTACTCTCTCTCCTGTGTTACGTGACTCCAGCAACAGCACAGCTTAGGGCAGAGCTGCTTTTTCTCCACCTTGCTACCAATAGCAGGTCTCCTGCTATTCCTGCTACCTAGCAGGCAACACCTGAAGTGTTTTCCAAAAGTCATGGTTGCTGATCAATCACACTTTAACTCCCCATTGCTGTGAATGCAGGTGTTGCTTGGTTTTCAGTTGCTGTCAAGAAGTAATGCCCTTAGACCACAGCATGGCTATGTGGGACACTATTTTCTTTCCTGTTTCTCTCCCCCACCTTCTCCTCTGGGATTCTCTTCATGCCAGTTCCTTTGCGCATGCATTCTTCTCCTTGCATTTCAGCCTTCCTCCTCACCCTGCCTCCCTGAAGACACCACCCTCAGTGAAAAACAGAGGAGCTATAACTCCCACAACTCAGAGCACAGACAAAAGCACCTGGAGGGAGAAGCAGCTTCTCTACACTCGAAAAAATACAGAATCCTAAATATATTTCACACATATATGCACATGTGTGAGAGGCAAGTTCTCAACTGTGCTGGATAGAGTTAGGTCTGCGCAAGAAGATAGAGCAATACTACTCCATGGCAGCTGAGAATCTGTCCCGGTATGTAAATGTAAACATCTATTTTTACGAGCCCTCCTACAGTTAGCTTAAAAAAATATTGGTTTTTAGACTCTGAAAACACACAAGCCAGTCAGAAATGTCCCACTTTCTATATTTTGTCTAATTCCTACCTCTGACTTCCTCTGAGAGCTTTCAAAATCTAATGAATTCAAGAGACAAATTGAACTAAAACTGAAGCAGCTTTGCCTTCAGTGCACTGGACCTACAGGAACTGAAATGTTTGTAACTGGGCTCACTAAACTCTGCAAAATTCCCACTGTCCTAGTACTTGTAATCTACTGCCCTTTCAGCTAGCTGCAGCAAGTAATGTCAAGAGCAAATACATGATGCAGTCTCTACATCAGAGTACTTTTTGCCATGAATCACTTTTTAAATTGTTTTGAGTTTTTATTTAATTGCTTCCTTTGCATGCTATGTGTACACATGCACTCCTCCCGCCCCTCGTGTTTCACATGTAACTGTTGTGTAGGCTGGAGTCTTTGAATATGGAGTATTCAAACCTCAGAGCACAAGGAGGAACTGACTTGTCCTCTTTTAAGATGGGAACCACATGTGTGACTTGAATCCAGATCTGGGGTGAATTCTGGATGCACTAATTTGAATAAATTAGGATTGGGGATTCAGACTCATTTCTTTGTTACAGTACTAGTTCTGATACCCACTACTGGGTGTTCACCTTTCACTTCCTCAACAGAAAGAGAAATGCTTACCATATTCATTTATTCAAGACTGATTTGCAGTTCATTCCAGGATCAAATCACCTTCAAGCTATTTTTCTCAGTTTTATTTCTGAACATTCTCTGTGACAATTGCTTATAAGTGACCTCTGCTAGCAGTTTTGAATATTTGGATCACTTGGTCACGTTCCTCTGAGAAGTATCTGTCATTCCACTTTTCCTCTGAAGGCTGCCCCACTGTTTTTTTAAAGTAATACAGTCCCACACAGAGACACTCTTCCCCTTGTAACAGCCTTAGTTTGGGAGACTGAAACAACAAACTATCTCTTGAGCTATCTCTTGGCTCTTGTTCAGAACCAGTTTCTTGGGCTCCCTAAAACTGTGGCAAACTTCAAAGCTCTGCTATTCTCAGGATTTTCCTCATCTCCTTTTGAAGACAGGCAACATACAATAGGGCTTCCCAGCCTTCTTGTGCTGCTCCATTTTTCAAGGGAAGAAGGCATCCCCTTGTCAGTATCTCGGCTTTTTCTCACTTTATTTCCCCTCAGAACTCCCAGATGAACACCAGCCGGTTGTGGTGATTTACTACACTTGAGTTTCTCAAGTTACTCTACAACTTCCTCCATAGAGACTTCATTCTATATAAAGGCCACACTCTGATTTTCTTTGCAAAGTGTCTTTGGCACAGGAATTTCTACATGACTCTCAACAGCAGACATGATGCAAGAGATTGATTTAACTCCTCTGCTAGCTTGTTGTACTCTTCTTCTGACCCAGTGTATATGGATTTGTGGGGATCTCTGCAGTGTTTTGATGCATCGTCCAGCCTAAGATTAACATGTGAGGCTTGTCTCTCAACTAGTTTTCTCTTGCTGCTCCACTGAAGGATATTTCTGTATGTTACTACAGTCACTCTCAACACATCTTATTTGTCTGGCTAATTAAGCCCAGTACCATTCCTCTGCACTACATCTGTTGCAGGTGGGTTAAATTCTCACTGATGAAAACTGGTACTGTTCCTAAGGAAGATGTTCAGGTGAGGAGCTGGTCCTGCAGGAGACCCTCCCCTAGCGCTATGGCAATCGACCCCCTGTAAAGGGGCAGGCTGAGTGCTCAGCAGCACAACTCAGGAGGAGCAGGACCCATATCCTAGGCCATGGCCTGGCCCTCAGACAAGTGAAAAGCCCTTTGGTCTTTTGTCTTTGATAAAGGGAAGCCGGAGGTCCATGGCAATCTTTTCTGCTCTTCCTTTTATGTATCTTCATTTCTGTTTCTTCCCACTCCCTTTCTGTTTTGAGAAAGACAGAAACTGCCATATGGCAAATCCAGTCTTTAATGACTTTGATGGACAGAACTAGAACATCAGAAATACTCTTCATGCCCTGT